TGGGGCCGAAAACGAGGAGGAAGAAGGAGAAGCATGTTTCGCTCACACGATATGTCATCTCGCTTGGCCAGGTCGACCCCCACGGCGTTTATAGCCCGCTGCTGCCAGTCGCGAATAAAATCACCTTTCCCTTTTTTTTTGTTGGTCCCGAAACGTCAGAGAAGTATGTTTTATTCAAATTTATGGTCCGCCCCGGCACACGCGCCCCGCTTTTGGCGTCCCTCTAGGAGTTCGCGGCGAAACGGTTTGCCGATTTGTTGGAAGTGGCGGCCGCAGCCCCGCAGCTGGACGGCCGGACGGCCACTAAATCTGCCGCCTGCACTGCCAAGTACTGCGAACTGCCTGCACACTGCACAGCTGCAACAAGAGGAAGTCCTGGCCGCGCCCTGCGCCGCTCTGCACCGCTCTGCACCGCTCTGCACCGAGCCGCAGGGGGTCCTGGTGGAGGGTGCCTGCCTGCCTTGCCTGGCCTGCAATGCGCTCAGCCTGATAAGAACGCGACCTCTTGCCGCCTCGCTGCAACGCCGCAACGTTCGAATGGCTTTCAAACGGACGGACGGAACACCTCGCCATGCATTGCACATGATGCACCTGCCCGCAAAAGTTGCATCGTCCGTAGCTTATGTTCCCGTTTTTATTTTTTTTCGTCGTTTTTTTTCATTGCGATCTCTTTTTCCGCCCCCGCCGGTACTCGAACCCGGGGCCAGGTAGCAGCTCGATCAATCACGCGGGGCGCATGCGCGGTGGGGCCCTTCATCGCCTGTCCAAAAGCGATTCGTCATCAAGGCATCGGCTGGCCGGCAGGCAGGGCCACGGCACGGCCACGGCATGGCCAGCTGCTGCACACGCCCGGGGCCCCTCTGTGACGTCTTCATCTGTCAATAACTACCTCTCCAAAACTATCAGAAGTTACTGAAAATCGTAGAAAATTGATTAAAGCTTTAAAAAAAATTGATGAATCAAAATTACTGAAAAAATCTAGTAGTTCGCAAACTGCCATAAGAAGCACGTTGAAAAAAAAATCACGATTTTCGTGGGGCTACAAGACACTTCAAGCCTAAAAATTTCATGAAAAAAAAAGTTGATAAAAAAGAAGTTGATTCAAAATTTTGAACTTTTTTTTACGAGTGTGTTAGAAACTGCGAGTGTGTTTGCATCTTGAGTGCGCCATAGAGGAAAAGCAAAGCGTCAACACTGGGCTGTGTTTGCCAGGCGAGAGGCCTACAAACAGGGCGCAGCAGTAATTGCCGCCAAAGTGGAGCCACTGTGGACACACTGTGGACACTGCCTGGGGCGCACCTCGCGTTGCCGCGGCCTCGCGACTGGACAAGCCCACACTCTGGCGTAATGCGCTTTCGCTCACCGAAGCCACCCCCACTCTCAAAAACTGGGTCGGAAATGAATAATAGAGGAGCTCCATGCTTCAAGTGGGGGCGCGCTCTGGGAAGTGGTCCGGCGTGGGGGCGGGCCAAATCCGAACGATATCACATTGCGTGGCGCGTCCCCGCGGTCCCCGCGGTCCCCGCAGGGCTGCAGGCGGGGGCATGGGCCGAGCCCGGCGGCGGCGGCCCGGACAGACAGAGAGAGATGATGATTTAATCTGATGGGGATGAATCGATTACCAGATGCTTTTTCATCGCGTCCCGGTGGGCGGTGGCCGTAAATGAATGAGGCTTTACACACACACACAGACACACCTGCACACACACAGACGAGGGCGCGCGCACTTGATAGATGAGGACCGTCTGCCGCCACCCCGGGTCAAGACGACGACGTTGAAGTCGGTGGACTTCCGGTCTGCAGAGGACGCGACAAGAACTCCCTGGACGAGGACTCCCTGGACGAGGACTCGCCACTCTCCTGAAACAATGTCTCTCTTGCGCGATTGCAAAGTTTGCAAACGATTTCAAGATCGTCTCATTCGCACGGCATGGCGGCCTGCTGGCCTGCTGGACTGGACTGGGCCGGCGGGGGTGGGGCTGATTCATGGGGCTTGTCTCGCTGGCGTCCGTCCGGAGCGAAGCGCGAAGCGGCGGGGCGCGGCGGAGGGAGCCCCAGTCTGTCTGGACTCGGGAACACCACTACACCTGCTTAGCAAAGCGCACAGACAAAGGCGACGCCGGCCCGCCGCGACGCCCCTGCCCCGCCCCGTCCCGCCCCGCCCCGCCCCGCCCCGCCCCGCCCCGCCCCGCCGGCCCGTTGAACGTATTTTCCCAGAGCGGTAAAGCCAGCCGAGATGTGCCGCGATCCCGCGCAGCAGCAGCAGCGCACGGTTTATACACGGCAAAAAAAAAAAAAAATGGCCGTCGCGGAACGAAAAAAAAATTGAAAAAGAAAGAAAGAAATCCGTCGAGGTAGATCTCGCGATGCGTTCATCACCCTCCGTGTCGATGACGCGCCTCCATCAGACAAAAGGTATCCGCACGTCAGGTTCGTGCACATGTCATGAGCCAAATATCGACGTCGGGAAACGTCGCTCTGCCTGTATAGACTTCGTGTCTGCGAGTGTGTGTGTCTGCGAGAGTGTGTGTGTGTGTGTGTGTGCATGTGTGTGTGTGTGTGTGTGCGCGCGCGCTCTCTCTCGGTGTCGGAAATGTGCTTATCACGACGGTGTAGTCTGTAGTGCGAGCGCATACAGGGGCGCGCACCTCCCCCGTGCAACACACACACACACACTCGCACCAGCTGTTCGCCGACGCTCCTTTTGAATGTCTTCCAACCACCGCTGCCGCCGCGTCGCCGCCGCGTCCTCGCGGCTCGCACAATGTTTCCCTTTCTGTTTGTTTGTGTTTTGTGAATGACGAGTGCATGCACGGGGAGCGCGGGGAGGGTGTGCGGGGTGTGCGCCCCGCCGCGTCCGCCCCGCCCCGCCCCGCCCCGCCCCGCCGTGCCGTGCCGTGGCGGCCTCAGGTGTGGCAGCGCGAACAGCGCGGGGTAGAGAACAGCAGCGGGAACCGGCTCGGAATTTGAACAAGAGATCCCAAAACTACAGGTTTTTCTTCATTTTAGTATTTCTTTTTGTTTTTCTTTTCGATAGTGCGTATGCTGGACCGCGCTTACAAAGAACTGATGACCTAATCCCGCGAAATTGCCGGGGAGATGTGAGTGAGTCAATAACGCAGTGCTATGCCATCCATGATGACGCGATTTCTGGGCCGACCGGCGGAGGCCTCTCCCTTCGTGGCTGCACCGGGCCGGGCCGGGCGCACCCCCCGCCGCGCCGAACCCGGGTAGTCGTCCGGGCGGACGGGGCGGCTTGTCGAGGGAGTTGGTCGAGGGCTGCAGCAGCGCGCGCAGGCCGCGCCGCGTCGAGGCGATGTAGGCCGTCGGCGAGCTCGAGGGCGCACCGGGTCGCCGTCAGACTTGCTCGCGGTGAGTCCAGCACGTGCCGCGTACGGCCAAGCGCGCCGCCAAAAGCCCAGGACGGAACAAAAACGGCGCTGAATACGAGATCAGGGTGCAAACAACATTTGCCACTCGGCTAGTCTTGCCAGTCTGCGGTTCGCGTCTCGCTGCACCCCGCGACCGCGTTCGTCTCGGTGGACATGAAAGGACCGAACAAGAGCGGCGGGGCCGGTTGCTAGTGAGAGAGAGGGGGGGGGGCACCTCCCTGCGCTACAGCGCAGCCACCCCACCCAGCGAGCCATTGATACAACTTATATACATCTCAATATTGTCCCTAACAACACCACCACTATTTCTCCCTTATGCGCTTGAAAAAATCTCCACGTGTGTGTGTGTGTGTGAGAGAGAGAGAGAGAGAGAGAGAGAGAGAGAGAGAGAGAGAGAGAGAGAGCGAGTGAGAGTGTGGAAAGAGGAAGGAAGGGGGGTGGGGAGCGGCAAGGGAGCGGCCAAGGTAAGGGGATCACCCTGTCATATTATGACAGCACCTTTTCAACGGTCAATCCTGCGCGGGGTGGCGACGACGCGGATGTTGTGTGTGTGTGAGCGTGTAATTCTTTTCATCGGTGTCTGTTGAGCACGCGCGTCCGTGTGGCCCCGTGAGCCCCTCTGGTGTCGCGGTGTCGCGGTCGCGGCCCGCCCTGCCACCGTCGGTGCGCTAAGCGTTCCCCGCTAAGCGTCGCCCCCTGCTCCCCGCCCCAGCATCTGTTTCCGCTTCCCGGGGCCGCCCCTCACGGCATGGCCCCTCACTGCAGCGCAACGCGACACGACTTTTACTTCCAAAAACAAACGCGGCCTCATCAGCATGTCCCCCTATCCGCGGCGCATCTCTCAGGGAGACGCGCCCCCCCCCTCTCTCGCTCCACTGAGGCCCCCGCCAGCCCCCGCCCCCCCGGGGCGTCACACCGAGGTGTTGGCGTCCTAAAAGTCGCGCTTAATTTCCCTCCGCGCGTTTCGGCGGTCGCGGTTTGAAGGTTCGACCCCCGGCCCCGGCGTGCGTTCAAGTATTCAAATTTGCCGGGCCGCTGAGTGGCCCGCGGCACGCCGACATCCATCAACGCTCTGTCTCTCTCGCACTCGCGCCGCGTTGCGCAGTGTGCGAGGGAGAGGCCGGTGCGGGCCGCGGTGCGCGTCGACGGGTATCACCGGCCAAATAAATAGAGCCAGCTCCCTTATGAGCGGGTGCAGTTGTGTGTGGCGGTGTGGCGCCGCGGCTCTGTCTCTGTCGCTCTCGCGGGGCGCGCCACGGCGGCGGCGTCTGTCTCGCTCGCTCTCGCAGGGCGCCCAGGGTCCCGGCGTCCCGCCCCGCCGTGATGAATGTGTCCGCAGACAATGTGCTGCCGGCTGGCCGTCGGGCTGGCCGAGTGGCCGCGCTGCCCAAGGCTGGGTGCTTGCCCCGCTTGCCCGCTTGCCCCGTGCATCCGGTGTGGACGCGCCAAGGCACGGCGCACCGGGCCGCACCGGGCCGCACGCACCGCGGGGGGCGTCGGCGCGCACCCTTCGCTGCCCTAGCGCGCCCTTTGGCGCCCTCAGTGCCACAAACAACGTCCCAAAGTTGACCAAGCCCAAGCTCATCGCCATCCTCTGTGTGTCCGCAGGTTGTTCGGCATGAAGCGGTGCGCGCGCTGCCAGGCCGCCATCTCGTCGTCCGAGCTGGTGATGCGCGCGAGGGAGCTCGTCTTCCACGTGGCCTGCTTCACGTGCGCGCTGTGCCACTCGCCGCTGTCCAAGGGGGACCACTTCGGGCTGCGCGAGGGCGTGGTGCTGTGCCGCCTGCACTACGAGACGCTGCCGCCGGCCACGTCGCCGACGCCGTCCTTCCCGCCCCACGACTCGGCCTGCTTCTCGCCGACCCTGGCGCCACCCGCCTCCTTCCGGACGGTGCCGCCGTCGCCGCAGGGCATGTCGCCTGGGGGCGGGCCCGGCGGTCCCGGCATGCCGCCCGGGGGGCTGGCCGGCGCGCTGCCCCCGGGGGCGGCCATGATGCCGATGGGCCCCCACGGCCCCCACGGCCCCCACGGCCCGCCGCACGGCCCGCACGGCCCCATGCCGCCGCACCACCACGACCCCAAGCTGCCCTTCTTCAACGGCGGCGTGCCCCCCGTCGGCGTCGTGTCCGCCGGGCCGCGGCAGAAGGGCCGGCCGAGGAAGCGGAAGCCCAAGGAGCTGGAGGGCATCACTGCCGCCATGGGTAAGTCCAGTCCTCCCAGTTCGAGCCCCGGTCGGTGCCTTTTCCCGCGTCAGGGACGGCCCCTAACCCACTTCCGCGCTGGCCTGGTCGGCCTGGTCGGCCTGGCCCGGCTGCCGACGGCCTGGTGCCGCCGCTGCCCGCGGCCAGACGGCGCACGCTCCGCTGCCCGCGTAACAGGCGGCCGGGCGGCCAGCCCGAGCAGGCAGCAGCCGTTTGTTTTGGGCGTCGAGTGCGCCCCGCGGACCACCCATTGACGTGAAGGCCGTGAAAATCGGGTCGACGACGGCGACGTCTCCATCGCCGTCCTTTTTCACTTCCGCCGCCGGCCGGGGTCGAACCCGGGATGATCCCGCGCGGCGGACGGCGCGATGACGGCGGCGCGATGACGGCGACGTTCCCACGACTTGGAGGTGGCTTTGGCGGCCCGGCCGCGTCGGCCACCTCGGCCACGTGGTCACTGAAGCGTCATCGCGGTGCCCTGTGCGGTGCCGCCAGCGCCCCCGCAACGTTTCCCACTCCTTGGCCACGATCGGCAGTCAGCTGCTCGATCACGATGGAGGCGCCGGCGCCCCCTCCCCCTCCCCGCAGCACGCCGGTGCGTCGGCACAGTCGGCGCAGTCGGCACCGCAAAGACGCGGCGACGTCGTGCCTCGGCCGGGCCGCGCTGTCCTGCGTGGCTGCCGCGTTTGATTCATTGACACGGCGCCGAGGCGGGGCGGGGCGCGGCGGGGTGGGGCGGGGCGGGACGGGGCGGGGCGCGGCGCGGCGGGGCGGAGCGGGGCGGGGCAGCCTCACGACGACGGTCGCCGGGGCATATCGAGGCCCACGGCCCACGGCGGCGGCTGAGGCGCCCGGCGTGAATACTCACGAGGGGGCATTGCGCCTCCAAAGTCCAAATTTTCCACGGCGCGCTTGCGATTGTTCGCGCTTGAGAATTTTTCATCCGGTGGGTCGTTCCGCGGGGTGGGGGGTGGGGGCTTTGGCTGTACCGATATGGCCTAATTGGGCTCTGCGCTCTCTGGCCTCTCTGGCTCTCTGGCCGCGCCCCGCGAGGGATGTCCGCTTGACGGGGCAGCGGGCGGGGCGGCAAGGCAGCGGGTGGAGGGTGGGTGGATGGACTAGGCCAATCCGATTAGGCCTGTTAGCATGCGCGACGAGGACGACGGGGACGTCGAGCACGGCGAGGGCCATAAGCCACGGGGAGGGGCGGGGACTGGCGCCGCGCCGTTTGAGCGACAGGCGAGCGCCACGACGCTGTCACGGTGACGTCCCGGGTGACGTCCTGGGGGACGGCCTCGGTGACGGCCTCGGCGCCGTCCTCCGTGACAACCTTGGCGACGGCCTAGCGCGCGTCATGGCTTTGCTTCTCCTGACTGTTGCTTGTGCTGCTGCAGGTGACATGGGCGGCGACTCGTACCTGGACGGGCCCTTCGGCCCCGGCACCCCCGGCATGCACGGCAACTCGCGCTCCAAGCGGATGCGCACCTCCTTCAAGCACCACCAGCTGCGCACCATGAAGTCGTACTTCGCCATCAACCACAACCCCGACGCCAAGGACCTCAAGCAGCTGTCCCAGAAGACGGGGCTGCCCAAGAGAGTACTGCAGGTGAGTCGTCTGATGTTGTTTGTTGTTGTTGTTGGTGGTGCTACTGCTCGGCAGCGACCGTGCCATCAATTAAAAGGGCATTTTTCTGCGTCTGGCGCCCTTCTCTCCCCTCTCTCTCTCTCCCTACCGGCGGAGGGGAGCCGGGCGTCGCAATCGGCGCCTGTGAGTGTCGATGTGTGTGTGTGTGCGTGGACGCGGTGCCTCCATTCCTCGCGCGCCCCGGCGCGGAAAACAGACGCGGCCCTGCACTACAAGCAGGCCGTCTGCCCAAACGGCCGTCCTATTCCGCGGAACTCGCGGTGCTTGTCCTCCTCGCCGGCCTGGCCGCGCCGGATGCCGCGCCACGGCGTCGACACGGCGTCAACACCAGGCCGTCGTGCGGGTGGCCTGCCCTACCCCTTGGCTGTGGCGCCCCGAACTTGTCGCCCCGACGTCCGGCCGGCCCTGCGGCGCCCTGCGGCGCCCTGCACGGCCCTGCCTCCCTTTGCCTGGCGGTGCCGCGCTGCCGCGCTGCCGCGCTGCCTTGCCACCGCGGCCCGTCCCGTCGGCCCGCGCCCGTAAATTTAAATAGGGAGGGTCGCGCCCCGCCCGTCTGTGTGCGTGCGCTGCGTGCGCGCGCGTGTCTGTGTGTGTGCTTGTTATTTCTGTGCTGTTCGGCTTGTTCGCTGCACTCGACCCGTGATGACAAATCCCCTGCCCTGCGCTGCCTGCACTCTGCCCCTTGTGTCACCGCGACGCCACCCGCCGCCCGTCCGTCTGTCTGTCTGTCTGTCTGTCTGTCTGTCTGTCCGCCTGTCCGTCTGTTTGCCTTGAAAAGCCCCTGCAATAATTGGAATGATTTTCCGTTTCGATTATTATTGCTGGCGCGGGATGGCTCGGGTTACGCGGCCGCGACGCTGTAGCGCGTGGCGGGGCGGGGCGGGGCGGGCGTGGCGGGCGGGGCGGGGCGTGGCGGGGCGGGCGTGGCGGGGCGGGGCGGGGCGGGGCGGGGCGTCACGGCGGGGGTAGGCCGTGCGGCTAGCCAGCCAGTTTGTCATGACGAAGGCGTCGCTTTATAAATCAACTTTATAGTGTGCGTTTACCTCGCGCATTGCGCATTGCGTCTGCGGTGCGTCTGCACTGCAAAAAGAACCCGGCCAATGAGCGAGCGCGCCACAAAGCGACAGGCTGCGGTTCGAATCCCCCCCCCCCCCCCGCCACCCTCGCATTCGTTTTTTGTTTCTTCACCTTTTACCCGTGTCGCGGACACCACCAGCGCGGGCGATTACAAACAGCAGTCGCCCTGTCTCTCTCGCACTCAAGCGGCGTCCCAGCGGAGTGCGAGAGAGACAGAGCGACCGCGGGAAAATCACCGCAGACCACGGCCCGCCTCTGCGGCCAACAAATGGCGTCTGGAAACGAGATGAGCCGCGACCGGGGAGAGAGAGAGAGAGAGAGAGAGAGAGAGAGAGAGAGAGAGAAGTGAGAGAGAGAGAGAGAGAGAGAGAGAGAGAGAGAGAGAGAGAGAGAGAGAGAGAGAGAGAGAGAGAGAGAGCGAGGTGGGCGAGGAGTAAGCGCCAAGCGGCACGCCGAGCCAATCCTTTCGGCCCCAAGCCCCATGGCCGGGCTGACGGACACGCCGCGGACACACAGAGGCATCAAAGACTTTGCCCCGTTCTCATTAATTGGCGCGCCGTCTGACGCCGTCCCCCTCGCACTCACGGGCCGTCCCGCTGGTCTCCAAGGAGTGCGAGAGAGAGAGAGAGGACGACTGTGTCCGGCATCACAGAGCCGATGAGCCCTAGCAGCGTCCCTTGAATCCCGCCTTGCACGCGCGTCGAGAGAGAGACGATCGGAAAGGACTTCCGCGCCGCCAAGCCGCGTCGCCGAGGGGGTGGGGGTCGCCAGTGAATCAAACACGTTGCGTTGCCCAAGAGGTGCGCTGTGTGTGTGTACGACTGCTGCTCTGCAACGAGGCGCTGCAGTGCGTCACACAGTCGCGCTGGCGGCGTCGGCGCGGACCCTCCTCTCATCCACCCCCTGCCGGCTGCGACGGTGGCGGCGGCGCCCCGGGGCAGGCCGTCCCCGCCGTCCCCGTGGTCGTCGTCGTCGTGGTGCCGAGCGCGGCGGGCAGCAGGTGATCGCTCATACGGCTGATTTCCTCCGCCCGATCCGTCCCGCCGCCGTGCCGTCTGGGTGCACGACGTGACGACCCGGGGATGAGCCTCGGATGAGGAGGACACACACACACACACACACACACGCCGAGGAAAAGAAAAGGCCCCCCTATTTTTTGTCGCTACTTTTATATGTTCGGTCGGGGGTTGCGCGGTGGTGGTGGCGGGGGCCGTGTGTGGTTGTGGTGCCCCTCGGTGCCCCGCCTAGTAGCCTGCCCCGCGTCGCCTCGGCGCGAGAGCGAGCGCGGCGGCGCCCCCGCCCGCGGCACCACGCTTCAATTCGCGGGTTATTTCCACCGTGGCTAATTGCTGTCTCCACACAGACACACACACGGCCACACCGTCGTCACCACACACACAGACACACACACGCGCGACAGAGCAGCGCTCTCGCCAGCGCTCATTCTCCTCGTCGCTTCTTCTCAGCTTTCCGCACCCTCGACGCACCTGTGCTCTCGCGCCTAGCACACACACACACACACACATGCACGTGCACACACGTACACGCACGGTGACGGCGCGACGGCCGCTAGGCGCGAGTCCCGGCGCCCTTCCGACACCTTTCCCTGAAATCGGCTCCTTTCCGCCCCGCTGGCGCTGGCTGGCGCGCTGACGGTGTGCTGGCGCCGAGACTGGCTCCGTGCCCGCCGCGCCGCGCCGCGGTACACATCGCCGTGTCGCATCGCTTGTACTTGTCGCGAGGGGGACTTGGCGGGGGACTTGGACCGACCCCTGCCCGGTTGGAGTGTCTCCCTGCCTGGCTGCTGCCTGATAGGCATCGACGTCACTAGAACAACAGGCACGGCGTGGCACGGCGTGGCACGGCGGGGGAGTCTGGTCTAGTCTAGCCGAGTCGCGTCGGGAAGCCCATGGGAAGCCCCAGTCACAGTGCAGGGGGCAGCGCCTCCAAACTGGGGCCGTTTTACAGCCGGAGTAACTCACGGGGGCGCCTTGCCGCCTTGCCACGCGCGGCGGGCCGCTCCGTCTCTCTCGCACTCGCGGGGCGCCCCGTAGCGGAGCGAGAGAGACAGAGCGGTGCGGTGGCGCGATCTGCATGCCGCTCTAATGTGACAGCGATTTCGCGCGTAAAAAGAGCGAGTTACGACGCACGCTGCGTGTCCGTGCCGTAACTGCCGTGTTGTTGTTGTTGGTCCTGACGCCCTTGTTGTTGTTGTTGCAGGTGTGGTTCCAGAACGCGCGCGCCAAGTGGAGGCGGCTCATGCTCAAGCAGGAGGGCAAGGGCGGCGACAAGTGCGGCGGCGACAGCCCCGGCGACATGGACCACGGCTTCGGAGGCTCGCTGGGCGGCGCGCCCGGCGGCCCCCACAGCCCCCAGTTCATCCTGGGGGGCTCGCCGCTGGAATGCTAGCAGGGGGCGGCGTCGGACCGCACCGCCGAGTCCGACGCCGTGTACCTGCCGTCCTCCTTCGAGGCCGGCGCCGTGGACGCGCCCTACTTCCTCCACGGCCTGCACCGCCAGGACCGCGCCGTCGACGAGCACCTCCAGGACGCCTCGTCGTCCTCGCTGCTGGACCTGGACGAGGAGTCCTCGTCGTCCTGCTCGACGGCGCCCTCGCGGTACCTCTGCCTCGCCCAGCTCTGAGCGCTGGCCGCGTCGCCCCGCCGCCTGCCGTGCCGTCGACTAATCGAAACGTCGATTTAATTGTGAAAAATTGGGCTCGGTGCGGCCAGGCGCGCGCTGTTGGTCCGGCAGACGCGCCAGTGCATTGTGATACCCGCTGTGGATGAAGCAGAGAAGTACCTGATGAACAAACGTCTTCCCTGCCCCCCCCCTTTTTCTCCAGACAATTCGTGCCCCCTCCCCCTCTCGGATCGTGAGGTTTGGACAATGGCACACAGCGCGCGCGCTACATCCATGGCCCCAACAGAGACTTCTTGTATAAGTTCCTACCAAATGGCATTACATAAGTGTAATGTGTGTTAATGATAATAAATCGTGGCTTGTGATCTTAATTATTGACTTTTTTTTGAGCGATGTACAAAGTGTATACAAGTGTAACCTGTTTGTAATGACTATTTACTCCAAGGCGAACGCAAGGCTTGCTGGGACACAGTGCTATAATATTGAACATAAATGTATGGAAAAGTCTGTGAATTCGTTATTGTGTTGTTGCATTGTAGCAATATGTGATTGAGGCAGGTGTTATCTGCGCAAAGGAAAAGTGTGCATATTATGAAGCTACGCTTTCGCAGGATTATTTTTTTTCTCCGAACAACAACGATTTGTTTTTTGTTGATTTTTTTTTGTTTCGAGTACTGATATTTATGTGAACTCCTTCATGTAAGACTGCTTGGCCACAGGGTGAAGTGTGTGGCGGATTTTTATCCCCAAATTCCGGGACAAAGGAACTTGAAGTACGGCAAAGTTTCGGAAACGTTAGAAACCAGGATGAAAATGGCACTTTTAAAACGGGTTTCTTACTGTTCAAACTGCGGGCATGGCCAAATACTTTTTGCACGGGTATGAAAGCATACGAGGTCTGCGGGCAGGCTGCTTATGTCTGCAGCGCTGCAGCGCCATTGGCTGCTTCGCCGAAGCGCTATCGCTGATTCAGAAGCCTGGCGAGAGAATCGGCGAAAATTCACAGGTTGGCAGCAGTGCTGCTGCAGTGTTGGCAAGCATGTAACAGGGGAGGGGGAACCAGTCGTGGGAGACCGACCGGCCGGCCTCGTCTTCCTTGAACAGCGTGTGGGGCGAGGCAGGGCCATAGCAGTGAAGGGGCAGATGCAACAGTGCGAAGCCAGCACTGTAAGGACAAAAGGGTGTAGTACCGTGCCATTCACGCACTGCAAAAAAAAAAAAAAAAAAAAAAAATTACGAATCGTGCCCGCGTGCTCGCGAACCTGAAAAGAAATATTGCCGTTTAGTTAATTTCAGAAAGTGGAAAAATTAAATTACGAACGCAAAAAAATAACCACAAGAAAAACATGAATGTGTTTGGACGTCAGAGTGTGCGGTTGCCTCACTTCTTTGCTCTTTCGAGTCGCGTTAGTTAAAAGCTTGTCGAATTAATTATGCTAATTATTCATTGGCCGATGCGGGGCTCTCGTGCCGCGCCGCACTTCAAGTAGTGTAGTCGGCCACTTTGTTGCTACGGATCCCGATAGCGCGGAAGCCCCGAATTTAGACTCAATTTGCATACTCTCTCGCGGCCTCTATTTTTCGCCGAGACAAAATTTTTTTATTTTATTTTTCCGTTTCCTCAGTCGGACTGCTTTTTCTCGCGATGGCCATCCTCGCGTTTCGGTTTTATGGGATGGTTGAACTTTTGGGGCCGCGGGTCGTTGCTCGGGGCCGCGCGCCCCGCATGCATGCCGAAACTTTGCCGTACTTCATTTTGCCTTGCCCGAATTCTAGAATTTCAAACAGCAGAAAAACGATCGATGTAGTTAAGGATTTTTTAAATTTTACGGTTTGTAATTAGTGTACAATGTCAAAATGATATACAAATATTAATTTTATTTTTATCACGTTATGTTCCTTGATGTTGTTTTTTTTTTCATATTTTGGCAGTTGTGATGAATTACAAGACGAACGCCTCGTTTTTGTGATTGTATATTGTCTGTCAAGAACACCAATTGTTTGTCAATTGGACTGTCATTTTTTTTAAATACCTACATGAGATTAAAAAAATTGGCACATTATTTAATCCCAGCGTATTTATTTCACAGTTCCCTTATAACCCCGAAATGAAAACATTCTCCCATCAGCAGCACCAAAACATCAAAAAGAGATCCGAATTTCCGAATCCACGCGCGCGTCGTCGAGGTGACATGTTTCCCCCTCCACCGGCAGCGCAATTCGCCTCGACTCATATCCTTCCGCCTTTCGGCCTGAGCGACACCCTGCTTGGCCACGAAGTTTGAACCGCCGATTAGTTTCCCGCCATTTCGCTCCACGCCCCATCCGTCTCCCGTCTCTCTCTCTCTCCCTCTCACTCCGTCTCCGCGACGCGTCTCGAGGCGACGCGACGCCGAGGGCGCCACGCTCCGCTGCTCCGTTGGCTTAGGGGCCTAACGCATCATCATGCGGCAACGATTTTCGTGCATCCCTAATTTCAGAGGCGAGGCGGTACCCTCCCCGCCGAGTGGCCACACGACTGCAACATTCTTCTGGCGTGCACTTTTGCGGCAAAATTTCACAAAGCGACTTTCGTTCGGCAGACGACGATGTTGGCCTGTCAAGAAGAAGAAGGCTCTGCCCGCCCGCCGCCCGGGCGCCCACATGTGCCCCCAAGGTGTCTCCGTCCCTGTCCCGTCGGGGTGGTGTCGGACCGGTGGCCCTTTGGGGGTCACTGGGTGCCCCGGGGCCCCGGCCGGCCCAGCCCGACCCGTTTCGGGCGTTCCGCTCAGCCAGCGGGCGCGCCGCCCCCCACCCCGCCGCCCGCCCCTCACAGCCCTCTCTGTCACGCGGCGCTCGGAAGCCAACTTGTCAATTAATGCAACGGCATCAGCCCAAAGCCTCCCCGCCTCCCAGACGACTCTCAGAGAACATCCGGAAGGAGGGTGGGGGAGGGCCTTCTGCGCCGCGCTGCGCGTCCCTTCCCTGCGAGCCCCTTCTAGGACCCCGGCAGGACAAGGCAGGACTCATCGGCAGGAATAAAAACGGGCGGGGCGGGTCTCCACGGCCCATTGGCAGAGACGCCGCTTCCATCTATCTATACGCGCGGGCACACACACACACACACACACACACACACAAACACACTCCCCCGCGTCCTGAGCCGTCGGTTTGGCCGCGACCAATTATATCGACGGTCACAATGTTGTACTGTACACCTTTTACCACACCGACCCAACACGAAACTATTATCATTGTAGCCACAAATTTTTTTTGCCAATAGCTTTTGACAGAGGTACTGTACCACGACCGCCGTGGGCAGAGGGAGTGACCCCGAGCCAACCAATCACAGATCGGGCCGCGCTGTCCACGCTTCCGTCGCGAAGCGTGCCGCCCCTCTCTCTCGCACCTGCAGGGCGTGCGTGGAACTGACCTGGGGCAGGGCCTTGGCAGGGCCTTGGGCAGGGCTGTGCCGAGTGTCACAGTCTCGCCGAGGGGGATGATATACGATTTGGGGGGGATGGAAATATTTGGGGAGATGCTGAGGAATCCGGCCGAAGGAAGGGGGAGGACGACGGGGAGGTGCAGGACGAAACAAAAGCCGCGGTGGGTGCCATTTTGTGGGGACATGTGGGGCCCACGTGGGGCAGGGGCCCCGCGCCAGGTCAACCCGTGTCGCTGCGAGTGAGAAAGTTCAAGCTGGGGGAATTAAGCGGCTGCATTGTCCGCGAGTCAAAATAGCGACTTTTGGCTTTGTCTTCTTATTTTATCTCGCTAGAAAACAATCGCTTCCATCAGGCAGTGATGTTGGGCGGGGCTCCATAATCGGAATCCGAGATCGCCATAGCATTATCGAGGAAATCTAAATATATGTTGGCGGCATCGTGCACGATCTCGGCGACATTTGCAAACAGAGAAACAATCAAATAACCCTTTCCCCTCTCGCCTCGACCGGCCGGCCCGGCCGCCCCGGCCGCCTCGACAAAAACAATGTCAACACAACGGAAGCTGGAGAAGGAATCTGCGGACAAGCGATTGTGCACCCCAATTCGGGGAAGGAAGCCTGGATTCGCAAAAAACGTTAGCCTTTCTCGAAAACGTCTTCTCCCCTCGCATTCTTCACCCTTGAATTCAGCATGGCGGGCATGCTGCGGCCTCGGCCTGCCGCTTCCCGGAGGCGGTTCACTCGCGAGGGTGGGGCGCTGCGAGCCTTATTTCGGATTAAAGTCACCACATTTACTATCATAGATTTCAGATGACGCTTAATTTTGTCCTTGACTTTCAACTGCTGTTCCAATTGTCTTTTCACCGCCCAAATCCTCCCCCCTTCCCCTCCCATCTAGACTCTTTTTTGTCCGCTCAAGAAATCGACTCCTCGCGTACACACAAATGTGTGTCTGAAGAAAAGTGGAAAGCAGGCCAAAAAATGGGTGAAGTGGGTCGATTTTGCATGTCGACCGGGAATGCGGCCAGACATTCATCACCGCGTGATTTCACGAGAGCCTCCCCCGCCTCACGTTACGTGACGTCACGTTGCCGTCGCGCCTCGGCGTCACGCATGGCGTCACGCGTCGCCCGCACTGCTTTCAGGCTCCAGTGGCGTCGCCCGTCACTCTCGCACTCGCGGCTCGGCCCACGGGGCGCGAGAGAGACAGAGCGGCGTTCGGAATGGGACGCCGGCAAAAACCACGAGGGGTCCCGTGTCGCTGCACATGGTGCGCCGGACCGGCCCAAGGTGTGGCAGTGGGACACTTTGAAACAGTAGGACGCGCACCAAGCCGTTGCCCTTTTCGATGTTCTGAACGTGAAGCGGGGAAGCTTTTCCCGGCGGCCCCGCACCACCGTTTTCCGCTTTCCACGGCCCCTTCCCCGAGTCGCTCACACTAACCCACTCCCGACTCCCCGACACGCGTTGGCCCGGGTGACGCCGCGGCGTCGCATCTTTCGGCTCGAATTACCGCAGGAGTCAAGGCGACGACCAATCACTTGCCTCGTCCAAGACCGCGTGCCGCGTGGCGCCTCACTCCCCATGTTTGTTTTGGCCGCCGCGCGCACGGTTAGACTTGGTCCTGAAAGATTCAGGGCCGTAACGCGTCCCTGAGGTAGCCGGACACCCGTTTCCAGGACGGGAGTGGCGAAATTCAACCAGTTTGCCGTTTGGTCCTGGAAACGGGTGTCATTGGCGACGTTTGTCACCCGTTTCCAGGACGGTTCGGAATGTTTGGGGCTCTCGGTCCTGGAAACGAGTCTCGGCGGGCCCAAGACGCCGAAGTAAGACCAGTTCGCACCTGGTAGCTTGCACACTGAACTACATAGTACCGCTGGGCAATGATGCGCCATTCCCGCAGTGCGTTTCATGGAAAAAATCGGCAGCAAAAAGTGGCAATACGAAAGTCTCAAGGAGACCCGCCGATCAGCTTCGGTGTTCTTATGGGAACCGGGCCTTCATCCGACGCTTCCCTGCCGCGCAATTCGACAGATTAGTGGAGTTCGTATTGGGCTGGCCCACCCGAAGTGCGCGCGGTTTCTGTGGTACAGTGAGAGTCCAGATTCAGAGGCCTTACCTCAGAGGGGTCACATTGGGTATTTGAACCCGCGACCCCGAGTGCCGAGTCTAGTCAACTCCTCTACCCTGACCGCTCAGCCACCGAACCAGCTTGTCGGCGGCGATGTCGCAACTCCTCTTGAGCTGCCGTTCGAGAAATCTGGTCCCGAAAAAAGGGTACCTTGAGCGGTCTCGAACCCGGGACCTGCCACTTCCCACATCATGCTCTTAACCACTGAGCCACCGGGACGCCATGGCACCCGCCCGGCCTGCGCAGGTACCCAATCTTCTGTGGATATACCTCCCCAAGCAATTGGTCGCCGAAAAAATTGTGTATACTACCGGTCCCGAACCCGGGACCTCCCGCTTCCCGCGACATGCTCTTAACCACTGAGCCACCGGGACGCCATGGCACCCGCCCTGCCTGCGCAGGTACCCAATCTTCTCTGGATATACCCCCCAAGCAATTGGTCGCCGAAAAAATTGTGTATATTGCCGGTCCCGAACCCGGGACCTGCCGCTTCCCACATCATGCTCTTTACCACTGAGCTACCGGAGGACCATGGTGCTCGCTCTGCCAGCGCTGGTACTCAATCCTCTCCGGATAGACCTCCTCAAGAAGTTTGTTGCCGATGCCGAAAAATTTGCTCATGGCACTAGTGTCGAACCCGAGACCTGCCAGTCAGGAACGGAGCACTCTAACCACTGCGCCATCAGGTTGCTATGCACGCCACCCACCTAGCGCCAAACTTGAATAGCCACCCATCTTGCTTGATGCTGGACAAATTATAAGTTCGGCGCTAGGAAAGCGGCGCCCCTAGCAAACTGGTGGCGCAGTGGTTAGAGTGCTCCGTTCCTGACTGGCAGGTCTCGGGTTCGACACTAGTGCCATGAGCAAATTTTTCGGCATCGGCAACAAACTTCTTGAGGAGGTCTATCCGGAGAGGATTGAGTACCAGCGCTGGCAGAGCGAGCACCATGGTCCTCCGGTAGCTCAGTGGTAAAGAGCATGATGTGGGAAGCGGCAGGTCCCGGGTTCGGGACCGGCAATATACACAATTTTTTCGGCGACCAATTGCTTGGGGGGTATATCCAGAGAAGATTGGGTACCTGCGCAGGCAGGGCGGGTGCCATGGCGTCCCGGTGGCTCAGTGGTTAAGAGCATGTCGCGGGAAGCGGGAGGTCCCGGGTTCGGGACCGGTAGTATACACAATTTTTTCGGCGACCAATTGCTTGGGGAGGTATATCCACAGAAGATTGGGTACCTGCGCAGGCCGGGCGGGTGCCATGGCGTCCCGGTGGCTCAGTGGTTAAGAGCATGATGTGGGAAGTGGCAGGTCCCGGGTTCGAGACCGCTCAAGGTACCCTTTTTTCGGGACCAGATTTCTCGAACGGCAGCTCAAGAGGAGTTGCGACATCGCCGCCGACAAGCTGGTTCGGTGGCTGAGCGGTCAGGGTAGAGGAGTTGACTAGACTCGGCACTCGGGGTCGCGGGTTCAAATACCCAATGTGACCCCTCTGAGGTAAGGCCTCTGAATCTGGAC